ACCTACCTGGTGCGTCTGCCGGTCACCAAGGCGGAGAAGCATCGTCAGCGTAAGCTCACCACATTGGGTAAGTCATCCTCATCTAATCATGTTTATCCTTAATTTATTCATATTATGTGTTTTACAGGCACTCTGGGCGATGAAATTCTGGGCGAGATCAATCGCGAGTCGGCGCTGCGTGGCGATGGGCTAAGCAAAAAACGCAAATTGGCCAAGAGCCGCGGCAAGGGCAAGAAGCGTGTTGGCAAAAAGCGCAAGTTCCATTAATACGCCGGGGCCCAGTTCAGCTTTGAAAGAGTTTTCCAATCGATTCAAATAATTTGAGTTTTCCATTCGCAACAGAATGCAATTTAAAGCTTAGTTAACAATAGTTTCTGAACTTTTCGATTGTTTCTTCAATTAAATTTAATTAACTTTATTAAAAAAAACAAAATATTTTGTTGCATTTGCATTGTTTTAACCAAATTCTGTTTACATTTTTCCATAATGTTAAGTTTTTCACTATCCGAAACTTGAATTTTTGCTTAATTATAATTTGCATTAAATCAATTTCATTGTTAAAACTTTGCTTTACTTGGATATTATCAAAATATTTATTTTATATAGAATTAAGCAGGCAACAACAACAAAATGCCACAAAAATGCGTTAGAAAGAAACCGAAAAAAAAAGAAATTAACAAACAAAAAAAAAATCATGTATATGCGCATTGTAAACTGCATTAAATTTAGGCCACAAAATTAAGTACATAATATTTTCTTTCGACTTACGCTAAAAATGTATTTTACACTAAATTAAGCAAATGCAAAATTTAAAGGCGAAATTGAAAGCAAAATTCAAAATTAGCAAGAAAATAACAACAACAAGAAGAAGAAAAAAAAACCCCTTCTAGTATATTTATAAATGAAATTTCCACTTAAAACTAAACTTTAAGGCACAGCAAAATTTTTGCATTTAGCAAAAGAAAAGAAAAACTAAAAAACGTTTCGTTGTTTTTAGGAGTCCAACTAAAATGATTAATCAACACATTTTGGCTGCTTAAAATATGCTTTCACAAAATACTTGCTAAATAATGTTAATTTCACGAAAGTTGAGCAACAAAATTCAATGTCAAAAATGCAGTTCCCAGTCACATGTAAAAATGCAAAAACTAAAAGCCTAAACAAAAACAAAATACAAAAAAAAAAAAACAAACACAAAACTGAACACAACAAATTACAAATTCTGTAACAAAAAGCAGTTGCCTTAACAAAAATACAAGAGACCGGTTATACTTACAGTAAGAAAGCTTAAGAAGTGAACAAAAATGGAGGAAAATATTTGACAACAACTTTTCTGTTGCAACACATAGAAAATCAAGCAAATCAAGCAAATCAAGCAAATATACCTATATAGCATATGATAAACGTAAGCCCCACCCAAAAGTAAATTATACAGAAATTAACCAAAAGCTACCCAAAAAAGATTCTGAATTTTTATGGTACGTTCCATTCAAATGTGTGAGGCTCTGGATATTTTATAGTTTCGGGCCGTTTCTTGTTTTACTCAACTACAACAAAAACAAAAAAAAAAGTGAAGCAACAACAAAAACAAAAAACTGAAAAAAAAAAAAGAAAACTCCTAAAAACAACTGAATTTGGACACAAAATTTTATATATTTACTATACGAATATTTAATGTTTAACTAAATTTAAGCAACATTTTTGAATAACCCAAAAAAAGAAGAAGCAGAAATGGAAATTAAGCCAGCGTACGTCCAGTTAAGAGAGAGTTGAAAAGTTTCTTAAATTTAGCAAACGCAGAAAAATTAAACGAAAAAACCAAGCAGTTTATGAGACGAAGGCGCATATGAGAAAGAGTTGAACCAGCGGGTAAATGGAGTCATATGAATGATATATAACAAGCATATATAATTATTACAATAATATGTAAATGATAAAAACAGAGAGAAAAGAAAAACGTAGCAACTAGAATTAAGTTAAAGTACGATTAAACAAAGCAAAGCAAACTTTTGGCTTTTACAACAAACTTCGACTAAGGATGAAAAATTGTTCTTTTCCAAATTTCCATCAAAACGCGATCGAAGACGCATCGCTGTTTGAGATATAAAACTAAATGACTTTTTGGCTATAAACTTGAAAGAGCGCAAAATAAGGCAGACAACGGAAATTACCACATAAATGCAATAGAACACGAAATTATTTACAGGCAGCACTTGAACATTTTGTAATGCGATTAAATAAATTAATTTAATTAATTTATTTATGTTGAAAGCTGAAAGACTGAATATGTTAAATGAAACACGATACGTAAACGAAACGAAACGATACGAAACGAAAACGAAACGAAACGAAAACGAAACAAAAAACAATGTGTAAAACTTTTCTCAAGCAAACAAAAAAGTAAGGTTAGAGTGAGACGTGGAACTTAAATAATTTTAATAGCCGAATTTCTAGCACAAATTATTAAAACTAAAAGATATTACGTTTTTTTTTCTTATATTTTCAATATTGTTTTGTTAACATTTTCTGTTCACAATTTTTCGGTTCTACTTCCATTCAAATGCAATTATTCGTTTTTTGTGTAAAATGAGAAAGAAAAAAAGCCGCAACAAGAGACAAAACAGACAAAGAGACAACGGACAACAAGACAAAAGAGACAACAGAGAAAGCAACTAATATTGTTGAATATATTGCAAAATGTAAAACACAAAACGATAAACAAAACAAAGTGAAAACAACCAAACAAAAGTCGCCTTAGCCTAGCACCAAACACAAACAAAACAAAACGAAACGAAACGAAATGAAATGAAACAAAACCAAATAAAAAAGAGAAACAAAATGGAAACGGTATGAAACATTTGTGAAACATTCAAAAACATTCACGCTCTAAAGCAAATACTTAAACTTAAATATCAATTATTTGTTGTAATTTAAACACACACACACATGCACACACACACATGCACATGCACACCCACACACACATGCTCACCCACACACACACACACACACGCACACACGCACACACACTCATGCACACACACACACACACACACACACACACACACACACACACACACACACACACACACACACACACACACATGCACACACACACGCACACACTCATGCACACGCACACTTGTGCAAAAAGTTCAAAAAGCAAACCTACAAAATGTAACTTAATTTTTATAGCCAAAAAAAGAAGAGGAAGCAGCAGGTAATAGAAGAGCAGTTGGAATAGCGGGATCTTAGAATCTTAGATTAAGTTTAAGCAACTCCAATCAATTGGTTTATTAGTGATAGCTGAGACATGTTTTTAATAACAAATTCGAGCTTACATTTATTTCAAAAAAAAATAAAATAAAAATCCACACGCACACACACACACGCACACACACACACAGCGAAAGAAAAAGCCTTCGACATTAGTTCTCTCCAAACTGGAATTGTTTAAAGCAGAAGTAAAAATTACTAAAATGATGTTGTATAGCAGCAGCAGGTGAGTCAAGTTTAAAAGTAGTGTTTAATGTGCACATTGCAATTGTGTGTGTAAATGGTTGGCAGTCGAAACTATGTAAAATTGATATAATTCGCATTAATCTACCATTTAATAATAATTATAATACTAATAATACTGATAATACTAGTAAGCAACAAGTAAAATCTAACTAATAAACCAAAACCACAATGATAAAAATAAAATTTAATTCTTACAAACCTAAAACTATCGACAGCTAATTTATTGTTTATTTCCTGGTGTATTGCGTTCAGTCTTATAGCTATTCCTCATACATTGTCTATATATATATATGTATATATATTTATACATGCATACATTCCCGACTTATATAAAACAATTTTGATTTTAGGTCAATTTAATGCGCATCATGTAGCTGGGAGTTCAGAAAGGTATGTACCTTAAAAGAAAAAGCTATAGCTCAGTCATATTCTTATAGATTTTTCCTATTTTACGAGATTTAAATCCCTTTTATGAAAATGTTTATAAAAATAATAATTTGAAGAGCTCGACCATGTCAGTTCTTACTTTCGATATATCAATTTAAGTACCCTTTTATACTAGTACGGATACCGACTTTAATATACTATATTTCCAAGATCGAAATTTATTGACCCACTATTGAAATACATAACCATGTCTCACAATCTCTGCCTAAACTTGTAAGTCATATTTTCTAGTGGGGTCAGAGAATTAAGCTGAGAGAGCGCAAAGCAGACAACAAAAAAACTGTGCACAAAAAATAGAGCACGTCGTTTGAGCGCTGTGCAGCAGTAGATAACTCGCTCATTTGGTGAACCGCTTGCATACACTTGCTTGTGTGTGTGTGTATACTCCTGTTTATCTACTAAATCATGCTCCCACGAACATATGCATGTGTGTGTTGTTGTTTATCGCTCTCAACAGAAATTGCTTTCCGCTTGCGACTCCGCAACAACATTCTGCTAGTAGTAAAGTGTATTGCAAATTTTTGTATCTTATTGTCTCATTAAAATATTATTTGTAGTAATAAATTAGACCACCTAGTTAACAGTTTATTTACCCGAAATACGATCATTTGAAGTCTTAGCATAATTTAACCCTGCACAATTACCATATCTAATAATAACACTCAACCAACAATGCAAATTCTTTAGCCTGCCTGAATGTGTATGTATGTAAGTCGAATTGTCTAGTGGGGCTTAATTGACACAGAACTATATTGAGAGGGCGCAAAGCGGAGAGTAAAAACGACGCACAGAAAGAAAAAACGAGAGTTTTGTATGAAGAGATAACTTACATATACACACGCATATGTATATATTTGGCAATCCTTCTTCATACGCCTATTTATGTACATACGTGTATGCTTGTGAGTTATCTACTTAGGCATCGCTATCAATAAAATTTGATTGTATGGATGATCATTTGCTTGCTTCATTCAGCTCGACTTTGCTCTTAGTTAGTCTTACGCCAGCAGTCAATACGATCTGCTGGTAAGCTGCGCGTTGAAGTCGATTAAAGCATTTTAAATATTAAAGTTAAATCTAGGTATAGTGCAATTTCTCCGTTAGCGTGCGTTCTGTATTCGAATGGTAGACTTAAAATAATTGCCTTTAAAATATTTCAACTTTAATGGTGGAAAATTCAATTTGAATGTGTTGCGTCCTGGCACGACCGATTAAAGCTAAAGACGGAATTTTAAGCCTATTTGGTTGAGTAAGGTATTTCGCATATCACATTGACTACAAATTAACACAGAATTAAGTGTGGTGCAGAGCATATTAATATGAGCGCGATGCACTTGTGTAGCAGATAACTCACAAGAAGAAGACCAATGAACAGATATCCAAAACAGGCTATCTCTTTTTTTCGCCCATGAATTTACGTGCGCTTGTTTGTGTGGGTGTTTGCTTTTAAGTTATCTACTACACTTGTGCAGCGCGCTCTTCCGAATTTACATTCTTATTCGGCTGCTTTTTTATGCACGATGCTTTTTTGTTACTTTGCCCATTATTTTGTATCAATTGACCCCAGTAGTCAATATGACGCACAGCAAAAAATTGCTAATTGTGTTTCAAAGCGTTGCATCGCTTTAATACTTATAGACTGTAAAAGGAAATAGTATATAACTTTAAAAAATAATATAAATATAATTTATTTTGTCAATTAAATTGTGATCATGGCCAATGCAAAGCCCCAATCCTGCTCATTAAAATGTCCACATTTAGTTATTCATCAGATTGTCACACAAGTCGCAATTAACAACGGCTCTTAAGCCTGCTGCTGCCGAATTCTCTACTGGGGTGAAACTATCACAAAACAGCGTTGCGCGGGCGCAAAGAGGTCAGCAAAAATCAGCGCGTAGACAGCAATAATAGTTCATACACATGTGTATATTTATGTATGTATTGGTCTGCATAAACTTGTTCGTGCATTTGTTTCTTTGTGCGTTGTCTACTTATTAATGTGTGTCTGCTTAAACGTTATCTTCAAATAGATCGCACTTCATCAAAATTTGTTGTTGCTCATCTGGAAGGAATTTATCTTATTACCGTTTATTTGATCTCTTTTATGTGTGCCGTTTCTTCGTCCGTTATTTAGGTATGTATGTGCGCATATGTAGATAATGCATAAGCACGCATTTACACATGCACACATACATACAAATGCTCGCTCAAATTGGACAGTCTCATCTCAGTCTGTGTTAGTTTCACTCCAAAAATCAATTTACTCCAGTGCAATTATGTGATCGCAATTGAAGAGGGCTTTCTGCTATCTGGCGCCCGTCTGCCGCTATCCATAAGATGAGGACATGGCTTGTGGATATCCTGTTTCGACAATTCTGCACCTGCTGCTACCGCTGCCACGCCCTCCAGATTTCTGGTATTCTTAGCCTTAAATTGTGACTCTCCCTATTTTCTTTTGTATTCGGGTATAATCAACTACGTAGTAGCCGTTGATCTAGTCTGTCTACCGCCAAATTTACTGTCAGATATCATTTTTCCGATTTGCCAAGCCTCCAATGAGCGTTATTTTCGATTGAGCTAAAGTTATTCGTAAGGATATGTCCAAATTATGGCTATAACTAAACAGGCATTTGCGTACTCAGAAATTTGCTAGCAACTCGGACTAACCATGCCGGGATCAGTTCTACAATCAAAATTGAAAATGTTCTGCAAAACTTAATTAATTATGAATTTTGTATAAATAAAAATGCATAAGTGTGCATTGCCTTCGTAGACAATGTTTAAACGAGCATATACACATTCATCTATACATATCCATATGTACGTATATGCATGACAATTCCCTTTTCATAGACTTGTTTGTGTGTGTATTTGCTTGAATGTTATTCATGTATGCATGTGTGTAATTGCCATCAGAGGAATAACTTGCGCGAGTGGACACTAGAGCAAAACTTGCTGAGAGCGACCGGGAGAGCGCAGTGCATACGCAGATAATGCACAAGCAGTCATATGTCACATGTACACACGTTGCGGTTAGCTCTGCTAACCTCTTGTTTGGGTGTGTGTTCGCTGTTGTGTTATCTGCATATGCTCTACGCTGGTCGCTCTCGTGCTGATCGCTGATTGGTCCATGCAAGAGTTGGCTTTGGACGAATTTATCTTAGAATAATTTGCTTTCTCAATTTCTGTGCGCCGGTTTTCGTTGTCCGCTTAACGCAATATAATTCTGTTTTAGTTAAAAGGCAACTGCCGTGTTAAGCTGTTTACAAATATATTAAGTGCGATTTCTCGGATAAATACCGTCCGTTTCTCTAATGGCATAAATTATTAGACTCTAACATGAAAATTCTGCACAAATCGGGAACAGTTAAAACAAATTTATTTTTTGTTTTGTGTAATTTAAAGACTTACAAAGCCTCAAGCTTTTTATAAATGTAATTAACTTTTTCTTTTTCCATAAGTGTGTTCTGCATGCGTAGACATGCCTGTACAATCAGACATATATACATACATACATGCATACGTATACACATACATACATGCATTGCATACACTTGTTTGTATGTGTGTTTGCTAAAATGTTATTTATGTATGCGTGTGTGTAATTGCCATGAGAGAAAGAACTTGCGCGAGCTGACACCACACAAATCTTGCTGAGAGCGATCAAAAATTCGGAAGAGCGCAATAGATAATGCACGAGCAGGCATATACACACACATGCGTATACACATATTTGGCAATTCCCTCAGCATGCACTTATTGAGTTGTGTGATATACTTATGCAGGTGTGTGGCTTTTTGCACGTTATCTGGCTTTGAATTGCGCTCAGTCGAAATTTTGGTTGCCTGCTCCACTTTCTGTATGCCCATCTTTGAGTGCTTTTGGCAACATAATCATGTTTAAGTTAAGCCGTGAGAAGCTGTTAGAAAAATATTTAACTCGTACGAATCGTGATTAACATTTAAAAATTCGCAATTGGTTCCTTAATCAGAGTTATAATGTTGTGGGAACTTTAAAGACTTACTATGCTTAAGGGTATATATTTTCCCAAATCGGATTAATTCAACCGATAAAAAGCGATTCTAAGCTTACAAAAAAATAATTTCTTGTTTTTTTTTTTAAACATTGGCCCGTTTTATGCGTAGACTTATACGCAAATCTTCATATTTTGCACCTGTTAAAAATGTTCGTATGTAATACAATAAAACTTAGTCAGTCATTCACTTAATTTAATTTATACCTTATTCCATTGAAATATTTGTACAATTTTCAGATTAACGGATTAAAGGACTCGTCGACTATAAGGACTTCCACAACTTGTGGACTTGTCAGGTTCGGACTGTATATTAGCCAAATAAAGTCTTTTATTAATCAAGTTCTTATTTTCAGATTCAGCTAAATCTGTAGCTTTCAAGGAAAAAAACAAATCAATATTGTTGGTACCTAGTTGACCCACATATCCTTGGTTATTCCATACAATGGATATAGTCCTAGTGAACCTAGAGGACCGAATTTTAGCAAATGCCCAAGAATATGGTCCAAAAATATGTATGCTTTTTCAGCCTGGTTTCAGCCTTGGTTCCTAGTTGACTGTCATATCCTTGGTTCTACCATACCATCGATATAGCCCTTGGCAACCTACAACAAATCCCTGCGAAATTTGCATTGAAATGATCCAAAAGCATTTATTTTTCTTTCAGCAGCGCCTGTAAATAACCAGCAGCTGCAGCTGCTAATTAACAGCCGATCTTACAGCACTCGTTTTACATTAACTGCTGTTTAACATAACTCATTTTAAATGAGTTACATTTTTGCCCTTACGCGTATGCAACACAAATTTTTATTCGAAAATATTCGGCGACCTTCTGAGCATTTCTGTTCGCCTGGTACTTCAGCAAATTTGGGGACCCAGCCGCCGACGAGGGCGCCCCTTTCGGGTATGCAACAGAAAATTTTTGGACGCTGAAAAATTTTGTCGACCTTCTAGACAATTCTGTTTGCCTGGTATTTCAGCAGAATTTCAGAAGCCGGCGCCTTTAACGGACAGATTTTTAACGACAGTTGATTTTTGAATTTTTTGCAATCCCATATCCTTTAGAAGTAAAAACAGGAATTTATTTAATAAATTATTTTATTTATTTTTGTTTAAATTAACAAATTTGTTGTTTTTCACATATATTTTCAATTTTAACTTAAATGTCTATATTTGGCTTAATATATATCCGATCCTGGAAAAAGTTGCCTCGTTAGATTCGTAAATGTCCTTAGAATCGATTAGAGTCCTTAAATCCTTCAATCTGAAAAGATAAAAACAAATTTGAAACAAAAATGTCAAAAGAGATATGTAAGGGTATTTTGAGGAAAGAAATGGCCATAACTCGGCCATATCCTTGCAGATTTTCAAAGGACATGGTGCGTTAGGATCGTGGGGACCGACTTCATCGAACTGCATTAAAACATTATGGGGTCATCTAAGAATCCTGGACTTGGTAATTTTTCAGTCGCGGGCCCCAAGGAAAATTGGTTGAAATCCCACAATTACAGTAAAATCGCGATATCTCTGAAACTACAAGGACGATCTTGATGTCCTTTGGCCAGATGGTAGTCCTGGTCAGTACAATTGTTTTGACACAGGACTCGTCAGGATACGCCAGGATATGGTCGAGTTATAAGCCATTTTCGGTTTACAAATTTGTCCTTAAAACTTTTTTGTCCGAAGGACTTTCGTCCTTTGGGATGTATATTCGTAAATGGGAGGCTGAGGACTATCTACAGTTCAAAGGACATCGTGATAGTCCTTCAAATGGCGAAGTTAGTCCCGAATTTTTCGATTTTTGGCAATTTTCTGACTAAACCCCTGTGAAAATTTTTAGTGAAATTTTTTGTCGAATCCTGGAATTCCTTGAATGCCAATCGATAGTCCTGCTCCCCACGACTTCAGAAAGGTATATCCTTTGGGTATCTCTAAGGATATGACCAAGATATGGCTATAAAAAGAATATCCTTTTTAGAAAATAAGCCATATCTCTGAAACGACTGGGACGATCTTAATGTCCTTTGGCCTGATTGAAGTCCTAGTCCATACACGCTGTTTGACCCAGGACTTGTCATGATCCGCACGGATACAGCTGAGATATAACTATTTCAATGTACAAAACAAATGTCCTTAAATCTTAGCTATTGGAAGGATCTTCGTCCTTCTCATTGTGTTTTCTGAATGGGCAAGACAAGGATTATCTGATGGTCAAAGGACATGCCGAAAGTCCTTAACATGCCCAAGTTATGTCTAGTTTTATAATAGTATCCTTTTAAGAAGAATAGCCATAACTCGGCCGTATCCTTCGGGATTTTCAAAGGATATGGGGCGTTAGTATCGAGAAGAGCAAGCGCATCGATCTACATCAAAAGGTTATGAGGTCATCTAAGAATCCAGGACTTAGTAATTTTTTGAGCCCCGGATTGCAAGGAAATGGCCATAAGACACAAAATTCTTAATCTCTCCGAAACTACAAGGACGATCGTGATGCCCTGGTCAATACAACTTAAATGACAAAGGACTTGTCAGAATACGAAAGGATATGTTCGAATTACTAGACAATTTTATGAGTAAGCAAATGTCTCTTTTCTTAACTCTTGTAAGGACTTTTGTTCATTTTGTTTTTATATCTTGAATTGACAGGATTCTACATTGGGCAAAGGACATGAGATTAGTGCTTGAAGTAAGCAAGATATAAAATTAATGAAATGAGCGAGTTGTGGCAATTTTTCTTAAAAGTTAATAGCAATAATTTGAATTACTGAATCTCGTTCGAAAATAACGCCCATTGGAGGCTTGGCAAATCGGAAAAATGATATCTGACAATAAATTTGGCGGTAGATAGACTAGATCAACGGCTAGTAGTCGATTATACCCGATTACAACAGAAAATATAGAGAGAGTCATACTTGGAGTTGCGAATACGAGAAATTCTGAAGGGCGTGGCAGCGGCAGCAGCAGGTGCAAAATCGCCGGCCAAGGATATCCACAAGCCATGTCCTCATCTTATTGGCAGCGGCAGACGGGCGAGATGGAGCAGAAAGTCCTCTACAATTGCGATCACATAATTGCACCGACCTCTTTGGCAGACTAGTACAAAGGCGTTGATCCAAAATAGCCCAATAGCCTAAAATATGTAGGTCAATTTTATACAAATTCAAAGGCCTTTAACTTATGCTCTTACCTTGTTTTATGTCAAACAACTTGATGTGGTGCAATATATGGAATCAATCAATGGGATAAGTTAAGTATTCACTCGCCGTCCAAGCGCACGCGATGAGATAGAGAACCGAGAAATGCTGTTCCCCAGCTGAAGGCAACTAAATAAAAGAATAAGTGTTATATTTTATTACCATCAATAGTCCTGATACGTACGCATCCGAGAAGGTATTTAACCAAGACATTGCAAATTATATTTTGCAATAGCTTCAAACGACTTTAATTCGCAACAAAACAACACATCAAATTGACTTCTGGAGTAAAACTAACACAGAATGAGATGAGAATGTCCAATTTGAGCGAACATATGTATGTATGTGTGCATGTGTAAAGGCGTGCCTGTGCATTATCTACATATGCGCACATACATAAATAACGGACGAAGAAACGGCACACAGAAGAGAGATCAAGTAAGCGGTAATAAGATAAATTCCTTCCAGAAGCGATGAGCAACAACAAATTTTGATGAAGTGCGATCTATTTGAAGATAACGTTTAAGCAGACACACATTAATAAGTAGACAACGCACAAGGAAACAAATGCACGAACAAGTTTATGCAAACGAATACATACATAAATATACACATGTGTATAAACTATTATTGCTTTCTGCGCGCTGATTTTTGCTGTTCTCTTTGCGCCCGCGCAACGCTGTTTTGTGATAGTTTCACCCCAGTAGAGAATTCGGCAGCAGCAGGCTGAAGGTTTGGCACTGCCGCTGTTAATTCCCACTTGTGATTGTGTCAATTTGATGAATTCTTAATGCGCGGATTTTAATTTAGAAAATAAATAAACATTATAGTATTTTTAAAAGCTTGAAACGAAACTGATTAAAATAAAGTTTTAAAGCTATCATGAATTAAAACACACGCTAGCATTTTTTTTGTGGTGTGTCATATTGACTACTTGGGTCAATTAATACCAAATGGTGTGCAAGGCAGACGAAGCACCGTACAGAAAATAAGCGGTATGAGCGCGATGCACAAGTGGAGTAGATAATTTAAGCAAATTGACGTGCGAAAGAAAGAGATAGCCTGTTTTGGTTGTCACTTAATTTGGCGCTTCCTGTTTTGCTTGTGCAGGAGTTCTTATGTTGATTTTTTCTTGCTATATTTTGTTGTCTTTTACAAAAAATTAATATTTATATTATTACTAATTATGGGTATTTATCGTCTACTTTACGGCCCACTCGAAAAATGATTTGGTTTTCTGACTTTACATAACTTTACTTGACAATTTTCGGTGCATTTCTACTAACAAGGGTATATAATCTTCGGCGTGTCAATAGTTTTTGTGTTGCGTGATTTTTGGTAAAAAGCGCCATCTACAAGAACTCGGTATTCGATAGCGCCATCTCGATAAACTCTTTGTTCGATAGCGCCATCTACAGAAAATCTTAGTTCGTTAGCGCCATCTACAGAAACGCTTTGTTAAACACCGCCATCTACAGCAATGCAGCACAAGTAGAATCGTAGTTAATTTAATGACCGCATGGCGTCGCCCCTTCCATTGCTCATACGCCCTGCGCCACAATTGCGGTCGCCATGAAATGTGATTTGAAATTGCAACTCGCCGCTGCCGAATAAAAAGCCCGTTACATTGCAATCAAGCAGAATGCTTGACGTAATCTATGGCCATCTCTTTCTGTCAGTCGCACGCTCTCGCTCTTTGACTAATTTTCGGCTGTGCTGGGAAACAACTCGAGCGACAATTTCGCCGGCGCTTGGTGGGCGTAGAACAGGAAATGGTCGATTTGTGTGCCATTTATAAAGCGCACCGAGAGGAGAGATCGCCGATGTGAATGCGAATACATATGTGTATATGTACGTATATGTACATGTATGTAAAATAACTGTTGCATAAGTGTTTTACTTAGTTCGGGCACATGCAACAATTCCGCAACTATTTTAAGCAATCAATGGCTATCAATAGCATTAGCTGCTGCAGTTCGCCTTAGTTCTAGCTAATATACACACAGAGAAAAACGTTGTTCGAAAAAGTCTTCAAAAAACTTGAACTAAGCCCAAAATTATTAAAAACATGTCCATACTCTATAACTACTTATTTAGATTCCAGTACTATATTTGTGTCTATTTTAACGAATTGGGCTTATGTGTCATGCTTTTTCTCTCAGTGTACTTTAATAGGTACTGTGTGCATTCATTCATTCAATGGGCAAAACGTAATTGCATTTCACATTGCACTTTTTAATGCCTCATCATTGTCAGTTGTCACAATTGCTTTTGTTTATTTCGAAATGGGCTTTGAGAATCGCATAGAGGAGTGTGTGAAATGAAATGTTTTCAACTTGTCAAAGTGCGTTTAATAGACCAATTCGCTTGATGAACTAAGTAAGCGAGCATTAATTGCATTTAAGGCTTTTCACGCTAATAAATCACTAAGATATATTTCAATCAGAGCAATTAAAGAGAAACAAATATGTCTGATCTAATGGCAGGTATTGTCCTGTGATCTGGACTCTATGGCAGTATTTCTTCTATAGAAATGACCTCAAACATTCTCAAGCTCAAATATAAAAACATACTCACTTTTGCCTGAGCCTCGTTGCCTTAATGTATCCCTGCCTTGGAGAATTCAGCTCCAGGCTTTGATCTAGGCCAGATCCTGCCAGATCAGATCTTACTATATGCTTTAGTCTTGGCTGTCTTCGGGCTGTGCAATCGCTTCCTTGGACAACTCATCTTTGCAGGCGAATATAGTTTCTGGAACGAAATGTTTTTTGTAAGAATATTTAACTTGTCATGACCACAGTTTGTACGCAAATTCCAATAATTATTATGAAATAAAAATTATTTTGCACATAAATCCGACAAAATGTGCCCAAGTCGAGTTTCCGTTTAAAAGCACAGCGGAATCTAATACTAAATTGCTGCAAAAAATAAATAAACAAAAGAATCGATGCCAAATGCGTTTGTCAGCAGAAACCTTTCCCGCAATTGAAATATAAAACAGGAATTTAGTAATCACACACATAAATGTATATAGATATAGTTGATGGTTAAGCCTAAAACCATTTCAAGGCCGAATACATTCGATTTTGTTATTATTGCCAAACAATATTGATTTTCTGTTTAGCTGGAGATTTCCCTTGTGCCCATTGCTTGTCTAAACTATTCCCTTTGAATGGATGTCAGTCGAGGGAATATTTATTTGAAATTCTATCCATAATAATCTAGCAAATTCAGAGGAGACACTCGAGAGGCGTTGAAAGACAATGCTCCTGTTGTTGTTACCCGGCGGCTTTCAATTGAAAGTCGAGCTCGTGGATGAGGCAAACGCACATACACAGACACACATACTCAAACATACTCATACACAATGGGAGCATACTCATATGTATTCATATATACTCACTTCTACTTAAATATACTTGCACTTAATACACGTATTTGTGCGAGTCGCGGCAGGCGGACAAACCGAATGGAAAACAGCCGCAACTAACAATAAGAATTCTAATGGACATACTTATAGCAATAATAGTAATAATAATAATAATAGCAATGAATTACATAGGCTGAGAAATCAAGGCAGCAGCCAGACGAGACGGGAGGCGACTTTATAAAGTGCGCTCAGTGTCAAAGGAAATCATATTTCATCTGGCAATTAGCCCCGACGAGCCGTGAATTTCTTTTCGTTTTTGCTTTTTTTTTTTTTTAATTGGCCACAGAGTTTCTCCCGGCTAGGGAAAATACTGGAATAATACCTACCCCATACACTGTACATAATCAGTGTCTTCCAGTTCAATTAAACGAAATTGTGTCACGCGCGTGTCTCCATGTCGCTGGACTGAAGACTTATTCCAATACTTGCCCAACTTGCCTGCCAGAATGGTAGGGTATATACGCGCCTCTGTTGGCAGCTATACGTGCCAACTGTAGGGTATATACGCTTCTCTGTTGCCAAATACATCTATTGTAGGGTATATACGCTTCTGTGTTTGTACTATTTGTGCGTGCATTTAGTAGGGTATATACGCATTTCTCTTGGCATTTGTGCTTCCATTTGGTAGGGCATATACGGTTCTGTTCTGCTTCATTTTGTATGGCATAAAGCTTGTTTGACAGCGAATGTTATTTGTGCCCTGCAGAAAATGAGTAGAAAAAGGTAAGAATATTAGTTATAGAATATATACTTATTTGTATATAAGAAACTACTTCAAATTGTTAAAGTTCTTATAGGATATTTTGCTGATATTCAGGAACAGACATTTAAGATTTTTTTGTGAGTTTAGTTTTGGACTGTTTTTAATACTTATGTGTTATACTATATTTTATGATATAATGTTAAATGTTTTGAATAATTTTCTGTATATTATTTCTTGCACTATATTCAAACTCTATAAGTTCCTTAATTCTTCAGATAATTTCTCTGATATTTAGGAATATATCTATCAAAGCAACCGTGACTATGTCTTTTTTGTACTAATTTGTTGTACTATATTTATAGTATTAGGAAAATGCTTTAAGTATTGGTCGGTACATAAATTCATTAGTCTCTTTTCCTTATATGTATAAATTATAATGAGCAGATCTTGGGAATTTGCATTTTGTGGACTGTATTTTAGGAAATTTCTTCTTTTTTTTTGTACTAATTTGTTATATACACAGTGTAAATCTGAATGTATCTTGATTAAGACCGACACTTGTTGCTGTTGTTCAACACGTCGCACAATTTTGCATATGAGAAACCAACTGCGACGTCGATGCCGACGCCGACGCCGACTGAGGCTGAACGGCTGCGTCGGCGTCGCTGCAGCAGAAGAAAATCTGTTGCGGCCCTCTGTGGCAGTTGTCAAAGCGAGAGAAAAGAATCTACTTGATTGAATGTGTGGCACGATGATTGCTCTGCCTGATGCTGCTGATGATCATGATGGTCATGATGGTCATAATAATGACGATGATGATCGCAGCGTTGGGGATAATGATCAACGCCTGCGACTTGAAACGTAGGCGTCGGCGACGCAGCTCTGGGGCTTTGGATTGGATTATGGCACGAGCTGACGACTCAGTTGAGTCCAATTTCTGGAACGGGAAGTGTCGATCAGTCTGTCACCGCGAACGCGTGCGCCGCATCCGAAGAAAAGGAATATCTAGGATATAGCATAAAGCTATATAGACCCGATATATCAAAGGATACTCCATTGTTCAGACGCGGCAAAGTCGTGGAAAAGCGTGAAAAAATGCCAACCATAACCGAGGACTGCATCGATGGTTTTCAACAATATTATTCGCGTCCGCCGGAGCCGCCCAAGAAGAAATCGTTCAAACAGATGATTCACGATCCCGAGGATAATTCATATTTTGGCAGGACTATCGAAAGCTGGGGTAAGTACGGCTAAGGACCAGCCAGGGCCAGGGAAAAATGCCATTGTTTGCTTTTATATTTCTTCAGTTACGTAAAGCGCACAGCGTAAATCTTAATAGATGTCAAGCTGTGCCAGTTTGGATTTAATCAAAATCTTTTGTTGCCGCATTAGCGCAACACACAGAAACAGATAGGCACGGATAGAGATACACACAAATACAGAGAAACGCGGATCCACACAGATACAGGTACAGGTACAGGTGCAGATACAGATACAGATACAGATACGGATACAGATACAGATACAGATACAGATACAGATACAGATACAGATACAGATACAGATACAGATACAGATACAGATACAGATACAGATACAGATACAGATACAGATACAGATACAGATACAGATACAGATACAGATAC